CTTAATCCCACGTCTAGGTATATTGTATGCTATGTGATATCATCATACGCGAGTGAGCACATGTGATATATATTCCAGTTGAAATCTATAACCTCAATGCTCTATAAAAGATATTGTATATATGTATTGAGTTTATAGCATCTACACTCTACAGTATCTGCATCGGCCTCCTATAGTCCTCCCTACGCTACTATTATCTACTCTGAATACGGTTGAGTAATCCATAGTCATCCTCATAGATATATCATGCTATATATGAGAGGTGAGTATGATACGATGAGAGTGAGAGTGAGAGATCAATAATACAATCAAATATATGAAGTAGTATAACACATTACGTGAGACTAATCCAAGTAATGAACTGAGATCTTATCGCGTAATAGTGTAAACACTACGTAGATGGTCACACATATATATATATGTCTCTAGGGTTTACCCCTAGAGACAGTTATTCGAGTGTCCTACTTTTTTTTCTGTAATAGGACTTGACTGATTCTTACGAAGGGATCTCACCCATGACAAACTAAATTCTTGTCATTTTAACAGGAAAAAAAGCCGTCAACCAGCTCACTGGGGTCTGGGGACAGCACACAGGTCAAGGTGGTGCGGGTTATGGTGGATGACTCAAAGCCCAAACACACTTCCAAAAAGAACAGGCCAATCCAAGCAGACCTCGACGTGTCCAAGGAGTTCAACAGGTCAGTTGAATTGTAGAAGTAGACCAAGAATTCAGCTTTCCCTGCTTGTATCTTCAGTAGCAAAAACACAAAATAAGAAATAAAAGTCCTAATCTAAACATTGCTGCTACTTTTCCTGTTGGGGAAAGATTCCTTGCATGATAAAAAAATGTAAAACGTGAAAAACACCCCCACACATACACAATCACACACATACACACAATCACACAACAACAACAACACACACATACACACAATCACACACACACACACACACACACACACACACACACACACACACACACACACACACACACACACACACACACACACACACACACACACACAATCACACAATCACATACACAGACACACACTTCCACATGTACACACACACACACACACTCGCGCGCACACATACTCGTGCACACACAACTTGTGCACACACACACATACACTCGCATGCACACACATTGAGCGGATACACTCTCACGGCAGCACATGCACACACAGCACCACACTGACCGCGACACATACACTCAGCCTCGCGAGCTATAACAGCACGACTTATACTTAATGAGAATATATCATAATAAAACCTGCGCGCCTCTATATCATTGCAACTAATCGAAGACCAGACCAAAACCTCCTACGCTGATATATGATATCTCCTATACCAATCAATATAGTATAACACTAAATATTATCGCGAATATCATCTCTCGCTCAGCAACTACTAACAACTGTGATAAGACTCTAAATAATCAGCTACACGTAGATAAAGTAACTATCATATTATATCATATCAGCGCATATACTGAGTATATACTAACCCAGTAACCATCTACCATCATAGTACATATATGCATCTTACTATACAGATATACATATTCATCATCCACTCAATTACTATAACCCGGTTATACTAATCATATACTCCCTGTATATAGCTACTCTCCATACGTAGCTATGCCTATAATATATATATATATCAATAATGCGAGCTACACATCCAAACAGCGCTTATCGATCCACTCTCCAGCGTATATACATAGGACTAACACATATAATAACATATATATCTATATATAGTTTTCAATACCATATATCTAATATATATACTAGTGCTCAGAGTGTCCTAACTATCATCTATATATTCTGTTAACTATATCATAATATTAATATTCACCTACCCACGCTCCGTTAATACATAATTATATTATACATAGATATCATCTGTATAATTCTGAAAATTTAATACTATCCTGGAATAGATACTACATATACTAAAATTCGCCATTAATATACATCATACCGACCCGACTAAACTAAGCGCATAGGATCAGCTCCAATCCAAACGCCGTTTGCGCGCGCTCCATCACACCGATAACACGTTACTAGGCATTAACTATGCCCGACTCTCAACCTACCCCAGCCTTCAGCCAGCCTCAATAATCGCTAGATATGCCCGGCTTGTTGTCATCCCAGCGGTCGAAGCACTAGTCCCATTCCACAGTATCTGTACCGATATATAGGCCCCGAGACGAGAGAGCATCTACCTACAATATAGTGTAGACTCTCGTCTCCACTGCATCCACTCGAACACACCACGCTTGGGCGTCCCCTAGGAGTACAAGTCACGTAGTGAGAGCCTATTGAGAGATTCACCTAGCGTTACGTCACTACTATAATATACACATAATGATCTCTGTCTAATAGAGTGGCGCTACATTACCAACTATCGCGTGTACAAACTATATTGAGTGAGCGAGAATCAATCGCCATATCACGCGACCTCGATGACACGCTCACACCACACCATATAATAAATATACGCGCTTCAACTCACCAATATATATATAGCACACCCCCACTCCCATGCGCATCTACTATATATTATAACAAAGCACCTTCATATACTAATAACTATATATACATATATATGTATGCCTATATACGATACACATATAAGAGTGCGCATATATATATACATATACACACTTATATATATATATACCATATACACATATATATATACAAATACACAATATATATACATATACACATTATTATTATTCCTCTATCTCTTACTCTATTTCATATACACACACATTACACTATACACACATATACTATACATATACACACAACTATATACTATATTATATATAATTATATATAATATACATATACTAATATTATACTATGTATGTATGGTAACTTATATATATATATCGTATAAAATATATAGTATATGATATATATATATATATATATATGTATATATATGTAATATGTATGATGTAAATATAATATAATGTATATAAATAAGTAAGTATATATATATATATGTAAATTGTATGATACTATATAATATATGTATATTAAATATATATATACTATACTAATGTAAGTATTATATGTATATATGTATATATGATAGTATATGTATATATATGTATAATATATATATATGACCCATATATAATACATATACATAACGATATACACTAATATATCACTATATATATATAATATATATATAACATAATATACATATTAATATATATAAATATATATACTATATATATATAATTTATATACATTATATAATAATATACATACATACAACTACTACACTGACGTTATATCCATCATGAATCCGTCACTACTAACTTACCGACTTCATTAGATATATATTATAATATTACTTCATAAGATATAGCGACAAAATCTATCGAGCGTGCGTCTATCCGTGGATGCTCAATATACTGACCCTCAATTATGCGCCTTCGCTGTATATTTTGTATCCTACTCCCGATATGTAGTCCTCTGCCATCGGTCGTTAGTCGGCCCGCACCGCTTGCGCCTAAGCTGCGCTCATACATTTAAGGTCTATTCATGTGCCGCGATACATGTGTACCACGACTAACCACGCTTTCTTATCCTGAAGAATTTTAACTTTTGTTTTCTAACTATGTACTATATATGTGTGTTGATGTAAGAATATGATATAATATGTGTGTACTATATATATTAATGTGGTTATATGAGGATATATGTGCTCATAATGTATATATTGATGTGTATATGATATATGATGTGATATGTTTATATGTGTACATATTGTATATACTATATGTGTACTTAGTATATAATGTACTTTATAGTTATAATAATATAATGTATATAAAATATCAGTATATATAGTACATATAAATGTACATGTACTAATATAATATATGTATATATATATGTATAGTATATATATGTTATATATATATGTATTATATATATGTATATAAGTCTATATATATGTATATATATGTATAGTATGTAAAAACTGGGTTTAATTAAATTTTTTAAATTATTTAAATATATTTTTATTTTTTTTTATATATGTAATGTAATATATATATAATGTATATAGTATATGTAATATATATTTATTTATAATATGTATATAGTATATTCTAATATAATATATATATGTATATATGTATATGTGAAACTATTATCATATATATATGTATATAGTGATATGTATACTATTCTAATAATTATATTTTTATACCTATCAGGCCGGAACATCGCCCTATGAATATGTAAATAATATATAATGTATATATGTAATCGTAATATATAATATATATGTATATGTAACCCTGGATATATTATATATATGGTATATATGTAATGTAACTATATATGTTATATGTAATATAATATATAATGTATATATAGATATATGTAATATAATACGCTATGATGTATATGTAGTATATATATGCTATATATATGTATACGGTATATTATATATGTAATATATATGTATATGTATATGTATACTGGCACCACTATGATTATATCATCATGTCATTATATAATATGTATATATATGGATGTATAATGTAATTATGTATTATATCATGTAAATATGTAATTATATATACTGTATATATATGTGCAATGCGAAAAACACATAATACCGTTGGTGATACAAATGAAAAAAACCACAATGCAGCAAACTAGATTTTATTGATGAAATTTGGCATTGTGCGTTTTTTTCCACTGTATATATGTCGTATTATATAGTAATTAATATGTTTATATAATATGTACTATGTTATATGATAGTAATCATAAAAGAGTATATGTATAACATGGTAATGTTATATACAGTGGTATATGTTTTATATGTATATACATTATATTATATATATGTATTATCTTGTATGTATATGTATATAATTGTATATGTTTTATTATATGTATATGTACTATACTATATATGTATATATATGTATATATGTATATTATATATCATGTATAATAAGTCATATAAATGATATATACTAACTACTAAATATGTATAATACGTATTATATATATGTAGTATATATATGTATATATATATGTACTACTAATGTATATATATATATGAGTAATATATGTCGTACTATATATATACCATACATATATATTATAAGTATATATTGTAGTATATGTGTATATAATTGTATATATATGTATATTATATATATATGGTGAATGTTATAATATATGATATATTGTATGTTTTTATTAATACTATAATAACTATAATATATATAATATGTGTGTGATACGTGGTGGTACTTGGGTGGTTGTGTGTGGTGTGTGTGTGTTAGCATGTAACATTAATCGTTCGTGATGACGTCTTGTTGTGTGTCGATGTGTGTATGGGTAAAATATGTATAACTACATTATTAACTACTATTATATATATATGTATATATATGATGATATATTTAATATAATATGTATAATATATGTATATTAGTATATATACTAGTGATATATATGTAATAAATATATATGTGTGTATATATATGTATATAATATTGGCATTATATATATGTATACTATATATATCATGTGTATATATAAATATATATATGTGTATATATGTGTATATATACTAAATATATATATTGTATATATATGTTAACTATTGATATAATAAATATATATATATATTG